ATAAAAAGTCCTACAAAATATACAACGATGCTACAGAGACAAGCTCAAAAATACGGTAGACACGTGTCGAAATATGATTGAACACTTTTGAAAAAAAAAAAAAATAGCCAACCAATTTCTGTCAAATCAATCTGCTTCTGAATCCCTATTTTTTAGCATGTCTGACTGCTATTCCAAAATATATATATCATATCAAAAGTACAAAGTATTACAATCTAGATCTTGTTACAAGGTCGAATTATAAGAAAGACTAAAGAATCCTTGTGTAAGGGAAGAAAAAGCAATGGTTGTATTATGAATACACTTGTACAAAATCACCACAAAAGGCCACTAATTCCACTTTTATTAACAAAGATGATAATTTAATTAACATTAATCTTTTATTTATTTTTTTCCTAAAAGGTCATTCAATTCCAGTTAAAATAATGATTTTTAGGCTTATCTTATCTAAGTGCGATTACTCCCTACTTAATATAGTATTGATGAATAATTCTATTTATACACTCAAATATGTACCTAATTGTTTATGCCCTCTCACATGCACGTGGGATCCGTATGAATAAACAAAATCCCAAAATGTGATCCCTACCCCTATTGTGAGTAGTCGATAAGGGGTTAGGTAAAAAAAATTAGGTACAGATAGCATGGTCCTAGTATTGATACTTGAAATTATGCGTTGAAGGAAATAAAATATTAAACTACATTCAATCACGGAGTTTGATTGAATAAATATGAGCGAATAGACACATTTACAAATACATCATTTATCAGATAACAATTCAATTGACTTGACTCAATTAAAATTTCAATATATTATTGTGTTTGTGTAGCAGCCATAGCCTTCAATTATTTAGATAAAACAAGTTAATAGATAAAAGAGTTGGAATATTCTACTACTTTATCCTATCAAGGGCCTGACAAGTCCTTGCAGGCATCCATACTAGCTTTGCCAGAAAATCCTTTTTTTTCCTTATGTTGGGCGGCCGCCCGATGGCCGCACCAGCTTCTCCGAAAATTTTTCCTTATATTGAACAACCAGTCGACATGCTTACTTCGATCCGCACTTATTCACCTAAATTTTTGGATCTCTATCCTATACCAACTTATTTATTAGGGCAATATTATGGAGCATATTTGGTACAATTTTCGCTTCTGTTTCTTCTTTAACATTGTCCAATATCGTATATCAAAGATTTTAACAAACGTTATCTCATCTAATCTCAAGTAAATATTTCTCCGACGAGCGTACTTACTACCTACTTCTGGTCTTCCTATCATCAGTTCAACAATGAAGCTTCTTGGAAATACACACTCCGGATAAATTAAGCCATCCCCAAGTTGAAATAAAATTGTCATTTGAAAATCCCTGGCAATCCAAGAATGTCACAATATTTGACAACTTGATTACAGGACAATCCAGACCGTCCATTTTCAAGAACCCATCAAAAGATTGACTTAATACTTTATAGACCTTTTGCATTATTTTCCTATATCAATGGTAGGCACCACCACAAGTTTCTTTATCAAGATTTTCTCACTGAGCAAATCCTAACTGAATTTTGAGTAAAGATAAAAATGGAAAGCAAACAAGGAGGAGATGAATATGAAGACTTGTTGCCAGTAATGGCAGAGAAGCTAGATGTAGATGCTTTTGTTAAAGAACTTTGTGGGGGATTTCGGGTTCTGGCTGATCCTTCAAGTAGATTGATTACTCCGCAAAGTTTACAGAAGAACTCTGCGTTTTTGGGATTCGAAGGGATGAGCAAAGAAGATGCCGAGGCGATGGTGAAAGAAGGTGATATTGACGGAGATGGATCGCTTAATGAGAAAGAATTTTGCATACTTATGGTGAGACTCAGTCCAGGAATGATGCAGGATGCTGAAGCTTGGCTTGAGAAGGCGATGCAACATACGTCTTGATTCTATGGTTTCTATACATGTGTAGTAAGTTGTACTGACAGTCTCGTACCGAGACAGTACTATTTAGGTCACGTTTCATGTTCTTTATCACCAGGACGACTCTTAAATGACTGGGTATTTATCTTATCAACTCTGTATCTACTCTATGAAGTTATTGTTGATGGATCATATGAATTTTTAGCATTTTCCATTATTCCTGGAGCAGCTTCATTTATGAAGCACTGATCCAACCATAAAGAGAGAATTAACAGTTGAACTTAGAACCAAGATTTCCACAAACACCTTATAACAAGAGAAAATCAAGGATCCCCCTTTGTTGCTTTTCTCCTTCAGTTTATTACATCATTCATTTGTTTGTTTTAAAAATTTCTACAGTACGAACTACTTAAAGATGGGGCACTGGAACCAAATTTTCATGTTTAATTTTATCTTAGAGAGCTTTCAGCATCGACTACTACTCGAATGGATATACGAGATTCAATAAGCTATAATAGCAGACAGGATAACGCGATATAACAAGCAAGTTTTCGAGTGACTTGAACTAAAGTTGTCCATATAAACGAACCAACATAAGGAACTCAACAAACGACATCTGAAAGTCATACAATAGTTACGATTGTTCTTCTAAATGACATATCTAAAGGTACTGCTTTCATTTACTACATATATAGCACATTAGAGCAGAACACACAAACTTCCATTCTCTCATGCTTCCATCAAGTTCTTGACCTCCGGACGGGAGATCTGCTGTAAAATGAACAAAAAAGAGCACGTGAATATAACAAATAACATAAATTTTTTCTTAGTAATCTAGAAAACATTTTTTTTATTTTTTTATTTTTTACCATAGGGGTCTCCCTCCATCTATTGTCTAATTAACCAAATTTTCACTTGCGAGAAAAAAAATAGACTATAATATTACTGCCTACCTTCTGTACCTCCCATATTCAGGACTCCTGTGCCTATCATATGACGGACCATTATACCTATCATAGACAGGGCTACTAGGACGCCCATAATCAGGACTTGGTCGACTTCTGTGATAAACTGGACTGGGTGACCTCCTGTAAGGACTAACTCCACCACGCCTTCCATAATCTCTTCTTGGGGGGCTATCATATCTTCCACCCTTGTCATCATCATCCCTTAAAGCATATTCAACAGAAACCACTCTGTCCAATATCTTGCTGCACATTCACAAGATGTGTGGTCAGCCCACATAACATAACAACAAGGACACAATCAATCTTGTGCTATCAGAGAGAGATGCACCCCGCAAATAAGAAAGCTTACCTCATGTGTGTGCACTCCAATGCTTTCGTGGCTTCTTCCTGCGATTCAAACTGCACAAATGCAAAATTCCGACGAATGCGGACATTGAGAACCTTCCCATAAGGTTCAAAGTGTCGTTCTATGTCGCGGTCTCTAGTGCGATTAGGATCAAAGTTTATAACAAACAAGGTTTTAGTTGGTCTTTGGTTTGCCGCCTTGCTATCATGATGCCTGCCACGTTCCCCCTGTCAAGAGGAAACTTAAATTAACATTCTCCACCTTTTTAATATCAAATAGCATATAGGACCGTGGAAGATCCCAACTTATTTCATTACTCGAGAAAGTGGCATAACAAGCCCCCTCAATTCATTGCAAAACCAACCAATAAAAAAGTACTGTGTAAATAGCAGAGTGATAACATATCTGATAATGAAGCAACCTACCCTTGCCCATTCTACCGACAATTTGCGCCTGTCATAGCCAAATGGTCTGTGGTCAAGACCACGGATGGCATCTTCAGCATCTCGCTCATCCTCAAAATAGACAAATGCAAATCCTGCAGAAAAAATTAGCATTAGGCAGAGGCAATAGAGAATAAGGTTGCATAATGACCTTGCGATAGACGGTGCATCAGCTACAAATTAGGGGATTTTTTTTCCCGTAACAAGTTAGATAAAGTACAAAACCTGCTAAATTGTGAAGGTTCTGATGAAAGTAAGGATGTAGAGGCCTTGCATGATGAACTAAAGCAAGAGATGAATATGATGAAGGCAAATAAAGGCTTAGATCCATGGAGTCAGATCTGAGTTGTCATCGCTAAACATGCTTCACCAATTTCACAGCACGAATTCAGTATATAGAAGACATGGCATGATAGTACTCATTGATCTCCTTATGATTAGTGATTGTAGGCATGGCTTGATGAACTAACACATTGTCCTTTATGATTATAGTGGTTGGCATGGCATGATGCACTGTTAGTTCCCACCATAACCATTTTGGTGAGATTGCAACCTTAGGCATTCAAGGAAGTGAAAGAGAATATTGAGTGAAAGAAATGTAGAACGTTTCCATCTGTGAGTAGGAGACAGGGAAGCAGATAGGTTGCCTCTGCATTAGAGGTTTATAGTGCAGAGAAGTTGACGAGCCATGATAAAAGCTCATATTCCCTTAGTAGATGTTCCTGCGTCAAAACAAATGCTTAAATGTGGAGATCTTTTCCAGTAAAGACTTCAATTTTCCCACCTTTATTTTTTCCTGGTGATCTTATACTTCCCCCTCTTATATTTCTTTCGATAGATCTTTGCCAAGATATGCATTTTGGATACATATGTCAAAATTATATAAGTATATTCATTAATTAAATAGTTATTCTATGAACTTAAAGTTGACCACAATAAGTGGACACCAACAAGATTCATTAAATGTAATGGATATTTCTTTGGCCCTTTGAGAAGTTAAGATTTCGAAAAAAAAAAAAAAGGCCCAAAATAAGAGAATTATAGATAGTTTAAGCACTAATTTAATACCATACAGATAATTAACAACCATTAGGCATGCCAAAACTGGTAGCACTAAAATTTAAGTACTAAGTAACAAAAAGGAGGGATAGAATTAGGGAACCAAATAGATTAATGAGCTCAACTCCCGCAGGCAGTACAACAAAGAGGGAAAGATCATAATACAATAAATCATAGTAAATAAACATCTATACATAAGAAAATTGTGTTTGCATTCGCTAACCAAGAAAATGTAAGGGATGACACGGAAAGAGAGCCTCATATAAAATACACTTGCCAAGACCAATTCAAGAAATATCTCCATCCCGATCACAGAAGATATTTTCAAATTTAAATCATAGCCACCCCACAAATATCTCCATTACATAATACAATATAAGGAAATATAGCCTATTTAAACACAAGTTTCAAATGAAAACCCCTGTTTGTCATCCTTTAAAAATTTAAATTGTTTACTACAGGATTATTCTCCACTTCTCCATCTCATTCTTTTTCTCTCTTTTATTTTCAACTAAACAATCTTCCATAAAATAATATTACACGCAAATAAAAAACTTCTAATTCCTTTTCAACCATACATTTTTCAAAAAAACACTATTCCAACCATTAAAATTTGAAAAGAATCAGGGCTAAACAGGGGCAAAATATTCTACACACAAACCAATAAAAATTTCTTACCTTTTAACCATACATTTTCTAAAAAATATTATTCAATAACTCATTATTCTCAAATAAATTCTATCAAACAGGCTCGAATTTTCATTTGCACTGCCATCTTCACAATGTTCTTTCTATTCTTTCCAACTTTTAGTCAAACAAACAAGTACATACTTGTCAAAATCAAATGCTATTTCAAAGCTACAATAATAAAAAAAATAACAGTAAACTAATCAAGATATGGATATCAGATTATGGTGATAAACACATACCGGGGAAAAAAAAACCTATTTATTTACCAGATTTCATGTCAACGCGCTCAACTCTTCCATATTTGGAGAACAACCGCTCCAAATCCGACTGTCGAGTCTCGTACTCGAAGTTCCCACAGAAAATCGGCCTCATCATCAATACCACTGCTCCCAAATTCACCTAACATGAAACGACAAAAGCATATACATATATTACCAAAATATATAGCCAATATTCAGCAAAACACAAAATCAAAACTATATTGGCTTAGAACATGGGAATTTGACAGTATAATCCGATGATATACCGTTGTGCGTCGAATGGCTAATCCAAAAAAAAACCCTAGCTTTCAGCGGAAAAAGAATGGTTTGCCTCTTAAATAGTTGAGGCAAAGGCGTAATTTTGGTCGGGTTTTTTCTCTCCTTGTTTCTTTTTTCCACGTGACTTCGTGGGAGATGAATTTACCCATATGACCTTTTTAAAAAAGAAAAATCGCCTAGAAAATAGGTCAAGCCCTTGTTTGACCCTATTAAATTAAAATTCATTTTTCTCTATCTTCCTATCAATTACATATTTTTTAATAAAATAATATTACATGTAAATTTAAAAAAATTCTTTTTTTTAACCATAAATTCTTCAAAAAATTACAAATCCCCGCATTAAAATGTGGAATAATGGAACCCAAACAGGGGTGGTTAGTTTCAAATATTTTCACAATCTTAAAAGACAAAAAACTTATCCTTCCTCAATTTCAGGTTTTAAATATTTTTTTACATAATAATACATGAGAAATATTTGTTCTAAGAATAAAGCATATGCATTCATAGTTACTTCAACTTCACTCCATCAAGTAAATAGTCGAGATTGATCTTATTAAATTGGAGATTATTTTTTATATGGGTAAAACAAGCATTTATAAACTTGCAAGTTAAAATAAATTAAGGGCTCATTTGAGATAATTTCTGCTCTTGCTTTTGACCTGTAGAAGAAGAGAAGTAGTAGCCAGATCTTTTGAGTTAGTGTCTGGCAACTAATTTTAAAAGAGTTTTTCATTCTCGAAAAACTTTTACTTGTATTTGGTATGATCGTGCCAGAAGCTATTATGGTATTAAAAATGCCATTTTTACCCTTAATGATAAGAATGTAATAGTTTTATTATCATATTAAAGTTGTATTAGTAAAACATAGACATATATATTATATAATAAAAAATAACGATTTATTAAATTTATTCTTGTGTTAAATTTTGATATAAATTACTTAACATAGACAAAATAGCATTAAAAATTTAAAAAAAATAATTAATTACATAAAATATAAATTTAAATGCAACAATTTTAGATTATAAATCATAATAAAACAATGTTCATCTAAGCATAAGCTCTCTAGCAATTATATCACAAATAAATCCCATTTCACCCTCATCAACGGTTGAATTTACATCTGAGTCTTCAACATTAAGCAAATAATCTTCTTTCTCATTGTATTTTTTAAATTTCAAATCAAATATAGCCTCCCTTATAAAGTTATGCAGTGCCATAGACAGCATATTCAGATCTTGTAAGACAAATGCAAATAGTCCTTACTACAATAGGAGCCTCCCTTTGATGAGTTGTTTGTAAATTTGTGACTTTGACAATTGCTGCTAAATTAAAAAAAAAAAAATCATACTTAAATGTCAGAAGCTTGATGCATTAACACATAAAAAAGGAATAGTTAAATAAACATTTTTGTTTTCTTTATTTATTGATTCATAAAAAATGTAGAAAGAAAAATCTTGAAAAATGATTGGGTCCAAAACAAAGAGTTAAAATAGAAAAGGATTAAGTAGTAAAATGCAAGGAGAAGAATTTGGGGGTTTCATGAGCGTGGTTAGGGCTTAGAGAGGAATCGCGCAACTCCCTAGTATGGTGATAGGCTGCAATATCAAAACCCTAGGAGATTTATGAAATCGCAAAGCTCTAATAACAACATGTTCTAATCTACCCAGAAAAGAGAATGATACGAATATATTGTAGTTAATCCATGTGTTGTAGATAAATAACATTGTTGTAAAACGAAAATGATAAGAAATTGAAGGTAAGAAGGAAAATCTTACCTATAGATGAGAAGAATTTTTGCGTATGTAAACTGAAGAAAGGGATTGGAGAAGAAGAAACGAGGAGAATTGGAAAGATCATGATTTCTCAGGACGGGATTTAAATTTTATTTTGTTCTTTACAAATGTAAGGGTAATATTGGAATTTTTAATTTAACTAAACTAGAAAACTGACTTTCCATCATTTTGTGGAAAAGGTTTTAGAGGAAGTTACGTTGGACTAATTTCCTCTAAAAGCTATTCTAACTAGAAGAAGTCATTTTATAAAATTAGTCAAACATATCCAAAAATAGCTTTTGGGTCTCAAAACTTCTTTTGACTTCTGAAAAGCCATGCCAAATGGACCCAAAGAAGAAGAAGAAGAAGAAGAGTCATCTTTGGCCATCAAAGAATGCTTTCAGAAGAATTCATAAATCTATATTTAATCTGTACCAATTGAGCAGAGATAATTAAGGTTGACAATGTGACAATCTTGATTAGGTACTCTTACTGGTAACTATTTTAAAGTTATTGAAGAGTGAAAATTGAAGTACGACAACTATGCCTAATAAACATAACAATCTGAACAATCTATAAGTCCAATTAATTATTTTGTTTAGACAATCATCACGGTGTATGAACTATCTCTACAATCAGAATTGACATTTCTCATTGCACAACACTTTATTGTGGCACCCTTTAGAAGCAAAAGTAGTATACCTTACTGGTATCTATTGCAAGCACATAGCACCTATAAAAGTACTCAATAGTATGAAAGATCTTTAGAATGCTTAGATTATGCATATTTCTTCAAATTTTCAATCCAAATACATTGTAGTGGCATCAAGTTTCATTTAAGTTGCAACATCATCTAAAACTATCATATCAGACCTAGGATGAGATTTATCATCTAGAATGAATTTATGAATCTTATTACTTTCTCAGTGAAACTAAACCCAGCTACTTTTATGATACTCAAGCCTTTCCTAGGCTTACTTATTAACTTTGCAACTCCATTCCACTTGCCTGCTCCTGCATTGATATTGGAAAGAACAACGTAGTTACTTCGATTCCATGGTTCCAACTTAAAGAGAAATTCGACAACTTTTTCAGCCAGCTCGACTTTTTCGTGGAAACTATAAACCCAAAGTAGAGTTCTCCAAACAATGGAATCAGGTTTCATTGGCATTGTCTGTATAATATCAAAAGATTCTTGTAGATCTCTTGCACGATCGAGAAAATAAACTATGCATCCATTATGTTCTAGCTTCAAATTAATGGAGATCCTTTTCTTAATTAAATAGAAGATTTCTCGACCTTTCCCAACCATGCCTCCAAGTATGCATGCTAACATTGTCCATATGAAGATGACATCAGTCGGTGTTATTTCTATACCCTGCATTGTAGATGACATCACACACCATTTTATTTCAATAAGAAAATTTATACTCGCAACTAAGTTTTGCACTTTCTAGTGCTTTACACTAATAAAATGTAGAGCAATTAATGTTGAATAAATTAGTGCATAAATTATAAAAATATGTGCATACAATTACTAGAGCAACGAATTATCGAATCATAGTAAGTGCTTAATAATTAGCAAATCATTACTTACTTAAACGTAGAAAACGTAGAAATTGAACAAGATAAAATGAAGTGAGGTATGCGAATGCAAATCTCCTTAATACATATATCACCACACGCACGGGTGCTAATAGGATTAAACGGATGTTTGTCTCTTAAGATACAACGCTTCATCTAAAATTAATATAGCACAATATTAATTTTGTTGAACGAACCAATGCTTGATCGTACTCTTCTGAAATGGAAGATATCGAATACTATATATCGAACACAAAATTCAAAAAATAATATGGAAAATATTTTGGCATATTTAAAGAAAGAAAGAATGAGAGATCAATTATATGAAATTGATTTAGAGTAAAGAAAATGGAATTAAAGGTCTCTATTTATAGATTTTCAAGTGGCTCTTTTAATAGTTCGCATCTTTTAGCAATTCATTTCAACCATAAGATCGCACAATTTTCACATTAAATGGTGTAGGTTACAACCAATCAAAAGATTATAACTTTTCATCGTAGATCTTTTTGAATAGTCACGCATATTAGGAAACAACACGTCTCTTTAATTCATTGGTAAATGAAGAGTTGTGACTAGTCATCGTACCAATTAGAGATTTATTCTAATTCACTCTATAAATAATAACCATTATTCCAACAATCTCCCATGTGAATGAAAAAAGTCAACTCGAAACAAGGAAGATGAGGAAGAGTACAATTGAAATATAATGCATCAGGATTGATAGCTTTCACTTTGAACCATCCCTAGTAAGAATCTATCGGACTTATTTGGCTAATCAGTGAACGAAATATTTTGAACTGTCGACCATTATTGTAAGCCTACACAATAGATCGAACACATTATATCGCATATCTAACTTTGAATTCTCTATTGTGTATGATATTTTTGCCCTAAACTTTTTGGTTCTGCAAGTGCACAGAGAATTAGACTAAGTAGAATCTCATAGATACGGCCAAGTTCGCCCTCACATAGGTGAT